ACCCCCCCCCCCCCCCCCCCCCCGCCTGCCCTTGTGCTGCAGATGCTTGAGGAGGAGAGCGGCGGGGCCAAGTACGCTGAATTTGAGGGGTCGCCCCCCAAAGGTTACGTTGCCCCTCCGAACGAAAACTTCATTTTCATTCCAGGGTGAGCCTGGCAGGGCAGCCGCCCGCCCCGCGGCAAAGCAGAGCCCTGCCCCGTATGCAGGCTATGCCGGCCTGCGCGGGCTGCGCAGCCGCCGCCTGCCTGCTGACCTGCTTTCGTGACCTGCCCTGCCCTTGTGCAGCTGGTTGCTTTCGGTGAGAGGCAGAGAGGACCAGTTCAGGACAGGGCAGCGTTAGGGGCGGGGGCGTGGTGGTGGTGTAGGGAGTGGAGAGGGCTCCCTCGAAACGCTTGGACCAGTGTTGGTTCTCAGCACGGCGTGTGCGAGGTCGCCTTCGAACCCGGTCCGGCTAGCTCCCTCCCTCCACCCTGCGTGTGCTGCCTGCAGGCCTGGCTGGGCCGGGGCGTCGCCGGCTGGTGGAATCTGCCGCCGTACCCGCCTCAAGTGATGGTGAGGAGCGGGCGGCTGCCTGCGTGCACTGCTTCATTCCCAGGGCAACACCTGCCCCACTGCCAAAGGGTGCTCTGGCGCCCGGCCAACCAATGGCGCTTGGCGCCAGCAGCGGCTGGCCAGCCCACGAGCCAGCTGCCACCCTCAGCGCCCACCGCGCCATCAGAGCCGCCGCAGCGCTGCTCTCTCGCCGGTGCAGATCCATGCGCTCTTCGTGCCCGGTGAGGTGCACGCGGGTTGGAAGAAAGAATACCTGCTGAAGGCCAGCGGCGCATTTAACTTTGAGGTGTCGCAGGTGGGCGCGGCGCTGAGCTGGCGGCAGTGCTGACCTGGCAGGCGCTGACCGCGAGGCCGCCCTGCACGGCTTGATGTTGCCGTTCAGATGGCATCCTGCCTGCTCTGTGCACTTGGTGTTAATCTGCTATCTCGTTTTGCTGGCGCGCCCTCCACCCTGCCTGCCCCAGGCACTGAACGGCCAGCTCTTGCCGTCCGGCACGCCCGATGCGCCGCTGCCGCGCGTGCTGGCCCTGCTGCCCGGCCTCAACCTGCCCAGCGAAACGGCGCTGGAGTACAGGTGAGGTGGCGAAGGTTGCCAGTGACGCAGTTGTTCTAGCCTGGCCAGGGTAGCGCCGCACGGCGTGCCCTCCCACCCTCTCTCTGCCTGCCTCCCCTTCTCCGCCCTGCAGGGATAAGCTCCTGCAGCTGGTGCGGCTGGCTGGCCGCACGGGCCGTGTGATGCTGCTGCCAGACCCCGTCTGCAACTCGACTTGGGTGAGGCGGGAGCGGTGGGTTGGCCCGGGATTGCGAGGCGCTGCACTGCTGCGACTCCTGTGGCAACTGCATCAGATGCGTGCACACGAGTGCCCAGCAGCAGTGGGTTTGGGTTTGGCATGGCCCTGGCTGGTCTTGCACTGCATGCTGCTGTTGACCTGGGCGCTGGCTGGCTGCCCTGCGCGGTGCAGCTGGGCTTCGGGGGCGAGAAGCCCAGCGTGCGGGGCCACCGCAAGAACGAGTACAACATTGGGCTGGTGGGTGGAGCATGATGCCATCATATGATAGGGCACGCGACACAGCCACACCATACGACATGCATGCTGTGCATCCCTGCAGCCACCTCCTTACTTCACTCTCTCGCCATCTCTCGTAACCCTCCCTCTCACCTGCCCCCCGCTGGCCGCCCTCCCAGACGCTCACGTACGGTCTGGATGATGACCAGCACTGCATGTGGTGGAATGTGCTGGACCTAGGCTGCATGCCGGGCAGGTGCGCGCCTCTGCTGCCCCGCACCTCTGCCCACGCTGCAGAATCCTGAGGCCGGCAGTGTGCAGGAAGAGCACCGACACCGGCTCTCTTATTGCTGTCCTGCAGGTACATCCTGCACCCAGACTATCTGGAGCTGGTGCGGAGGCTGCCACAGGGCACCGCTGAGCCCGGCCGCGGCAACACAGTGCAGCTGGGCAGCCTGGAGCAGGGGCCAGGGCAGGCGCAGGAGCCGGAGCAGGGCCAGACCAAGAAGGATGCAGAGCATGCCGAGCAGCAGGCGGAGGCGCAGGGCGGGAGTCCAGCGGGCGCCCCCCAGCCCGGCCCACTCCACGCCGTGCAGGGGGGGGGGGGCGAGCAGCAGCAGCAGCAGCCAGCGCAGCTGCGGCAGGCCAAGGGCGCCAGGCTGGCGGCAGTTGCGGAGGCAGCCAAGCAGAAGGATGGGCCGCACATCCTCTTCCTGGATGCCATCCCCGACCTCACGCCCGGCGCCTGGCCGCAGCATGGCAAGGCAGACGAACATTGGGCGGCTTGGACTGGTAGCTGTGTCTGGGCTCGAGACGACCCTCCAACTCCAGAGCGCCGCCGGCTGGGCGAGCGGTGGCGGGGCCCGCACTGGGCAGGAGGGCGGCAGCGGGACGAGGCCCCATGGCCGTCCAGCCAGCTGCATTTGCACAGCGAGTGGGGAGACCTGTAGCACGGGTTGTTTTGTCCCTGCCCCGTTTCCCTTAGCTACCTCGCTGCCTCCTTCTACACAGCGACAAGACTGCTATCCTTGGCCACATTTCTTTATCTGTTTGCGCACCAGTCAGACAAGCGAGGAAGTGGCTCCATGTAAACAGGAAGGGGGCAGAAAGAATGTGACGCGAAGAGTTCAGGATATGTTTTGTTTATAATAATAGACAAGAAATGTGTGCATCAATGGGGAAGAACACAGCACATTGTCAGGTCTTGAGGAAGCAGCCACTGTTCAAGAGGCCATGCAGGGTAGAGAGGCTTGAAGCAGCACACAGCGGGAAAAGAAGAAGGTAAGGTAAAGGTAAAGGTAAAGGTGGGGAAGAGCCTCCACAGGCTTAACTTCCCGGTTTTAACGTCTAGCTTTAGACCATTATTTGGAAGGACCAGCATCTACTCCGCCGCCCGCGTCTCAGCTGCTGCAGCCTCCGGCCGCGTCACATCACTGCTGTAGTACAGTGTGCTGTACTTTGCGTACCGCATTGTCAGCCGCTCGACGTGAGGGTACAGCTCGTGGTCGCGCGGTACACACACCTGCCAGCATGGCACACGCACAGCAGCGTTTTTCAACGCCGGCAGGTGCAGGCGTGGTGGAATGCACCCCGCAGGTGCCGCTACGCGCCCCACAGCACTGGCCCGGCCCCAGGGTGCATACCCCATCTGCACATGCACGTCATGGGCTGCGGCGGCCCTCACCACGTTGCTCCACGCGTGGAACTCGTACTTGCTGGCCCAGCAGCCCGTCAGGCGGGCCAGGGAGCCGTTGGGCCCCTTCTTGCCGCTGAAGTAGCACACAAAGTTGAGGCCGTCCAGGCGCTGCACCAAATGCTCTAGCCTGCACCGCAACAGGTGGGGTAGTGGGAGCGGGTGTGTCCACCACCCGGCGGGGCCACGACCTCGGTCAGGCAAGGTGGGGCAAGGCCCTGTTTTGATAAGAAATGGGCCAGCCGGGCGCACCTGTGTGTTTTCCAGGCGCCTATTCCATGATACTCGAAAGACAATAATCCCACTTTGCGGCCCAGCAGGCTGGCCATGCCGCTGGCAATTGCGGGCACATCAAATCCTGCGACAAGCGCGGAAAGAACAAGAGGCAGAGGCAGGGTGGGCCGCCACGCTGCGCTGCACAGCGGTGCGCGTCCTCTGCGCCTGTGCTTGCGACAGGCAGCTTCTCAATTAAGCCACTTTCGGAGAGCAGGGCCCGTCAGGCTGGTGCCGCTCTGCAGGGGGGGGCAGCTGGCAGCGTGCTGCCATGCCCCACCTACTGACTCAAGTGTCCCCTCCTCCCACTCCGCCTCACCTTCAGCATCCACTTTGAGCACATCCACAAACTGCAGCTTGTAGTTGTCCAGCAGCTCATCCACGCCCCACAGCGGCACCGTGTCCCACCCAACCGCCTGCCCTGAGGTGAAACCGCACTCCTCGGACCCCCCGGGGCAGCGCGGGAAGGTGACGACCCGGCTCGTGCTGTTGCTGATGGCAGCGTTGATCAGGTGCCTGCAGCAGGGGCGTGCGGTCGCTCACGGTCGCACGCATGCTGGCGGTGCTGCGCTGGCTGCACAATGCCGCTGGGAGCCAGGAAAGCATAGCGGCGGCGGCCAGGCAGAGGACTATGGCAGGTGGGCATACCAGGCTGCATTGGCCTGGCTGCTATTGAAGACAAACTGCTCCCTGATTCCCACCAGCTCCGCAAAGCTGAGCAGGTTGGGCTCCACACACAGCACCTGCACTGCTGGCTGCTGCCCGGCAGGCGGCTGGTGGGCAGGCACCCACTGCAGCATGGCAAAGACAATCACATTGTCACAACCAGTCGGCTCATTAAGACCCCAACCGACAGGACACACAGCTTGCGTCAGTCGAATGCCGCTGCAACCATGAACCGTCGCGCTCGCCTTCTCGTGGCAGTCGCCGCACGACCCACAGTCCTTCCGCCCGGTCTTCTCGTAGAGGGACGGTGGGTTGAAGCCCAGCCCAGGTGCGAACAGCGCAAAGAAGGCGGCGCTGGTGTAGCCTGCACACGCAGCACAGCCCCATGCGTGGAGGAGCACACAGCGCGGCAGAGCTGGAAGCGGGCGGCTGGGTCAGCCCATGGGCAAGTGGTACCTTTGTTGCAGCCGATGTCGACGAAGGTGCGGTCCAAGGCTGGATCGGAAATCTCTGCATCGGGGAGCAAGCAGCAGATCGAGAGGGAGGCCCGCAGAGGCCCGCTCTTAATCGAATGCCCGCCACCACCCACCTTCAAGCTTGGCCAGCCACTCGCTATCGTGGCAGTTGCTCCAGCCCTCTGGGGCCAGAGCCACCATCTGTTCCGCCAGCTCCGCGGCGTGATCCTGCTGGCAATGCCTGCAGCATGATGATGACGCAGCATGGCTACAGAGCTCAGGCCCCCCTCATCAAGCGCGTGATGGGCAAGTGACTAGCGAGAGAGAGCGCATGGGTGATCTCACTCTGATATGGATAGATCGCCCGCATTCGTCACGAGCCCAGCCGCCTTGAGCGCTGACAAGAATGCGCCTGCGGCAGCACGGCAAAGGACAGATGATGCTTTGTGCATCTATGGGTGGTGGGCACAACGCAACGGTGCTGAATCATCGGCAGAACCCTCGCCTCCGCTGCTGGTGGGAGTGGTGGCTGCTTGGGCAAGCACGCGGTAGCTCAATGCGCCGGCGAGAACCGCAACCACTGCCGCTGTGGCGAGGCGGAGCAGGGCGCCGCCAGTGGCGCCGCCAGTGGCTCTCTTGGCCATGATAGCCCTAGCCATGTGCAGTAGGACGACCTCGTTCTTCTGCGCCGGACCTCCTACGCTCGTAGGAAGAGTGTACGCGTCCTGATCAGGGAGAGCGTTTGAAGGGCTGGGCTCAGCGTCTTGGAAGCAACTAATATCTATATATTGTTAGCCTGTTGCATGCGCATGCATTTTGCTGCTTTGCACGAGGGGGCAGATCTTGGCAGGTGGCACCAGCTAGGCGAGCACGTGTTGCCCCCTGATGTGGCACCCTCCCGATTGGGCAACCCCCGCCCCCGCTCCCTCCTGGCAGCCCGCGCGGCGCTCCCCTCCCATACGTGAACTGACCCCATAGAGCCATGTTTGAGGGTTGAGCGGGGCGGAGCGGGGCTGCTTGCACACGTGATGGCATGCACGCTTCAACGCTCCCGCTGTCATCTCACCTCTCTAGCGTCAGAAATACAACTCTTACAAGCCAACCAACACGAACAGAGAGACCGAACAACAGAAATGAACAGGAAATATGAAGCCGCCACAGGCGGCAGCACCTTCCAGCGGAGACGGCAAAGCGTACAAGGCACACTTCTTCAATGGTTCTTGCAATTGCCACCCTTACCGGTTATACAGCCACAGTGCCGCCCACACCGCGCACCATTCTTCTTGCAGCTGCAGTTCCGGGTGCAGGCGCCGCGGCAGCCGCAGCGCACGGCTGCCTTGCCGCCGCCGGGCTGCGCCGCCATCGCCACATTGAGAGACACCACAGGCACTCCTCGCTGCGCCGTGCCGCTGAAGGTCAGCTCGCTGGCCAGGCTGGGTGGCGCCTTAGATAGCCTGCTGGCCTGATGCATACCCTCCACCACTCCAGCTCCGCTCCGCAGCCGGTACATGGTCACGCCAAAGGGCCGCTTGATCTCCACCACGCGGCACACGATGCGGTTGCGGCCCAGCTGCTTGCCCACTTTGCCGCGCTTCGGCGGCAGCAGCAGCACGTCATCGCCCACAGCAAAGTCCGTGGGCTCGCCCTTTGGCCTGCGCTGCGCTGCGATCCGCTGGCGGTTCTTCACCTGAGCCGCCGCCACTCGAGAGCGGGTGGCCTGCAAGTGTGCTGGCATGGGCGGGTGTGGTGCTGCCAGCGTGCCGCCCTCCTCCGCCTCTGCTGCTGCCTGCTCCTCCCCTGCCTCCGAAGCTGCTGCCGCAGCCGCCGCTGCCAGCACTGCTATGCGGTTGCGGCGCTGGCCAGCAGGGCTGCTAGTGGCAGCGGTGCGCTGTGGCAGCTGCCGCATGGGCAGCACCTCCTCCGCATCCTCCAGCTCGTGCTCCATGGCCAGTACGGCGATCAGGCCCGCAGCGGCTGCCCGCTGGCTGCTGCGCCGAGCAGGAGCCTCCCCCTCATCCATGGCCGCCGCAGCAGCTGCCACCTCCGCTTCATCGGCCAGCTCTGCCTCCACAGCGCTGCGCTTGCGGCCGGTGATGGGCGCCCAGGCTGTGGGGCGGCGTGCAGCTGTGCGGGTGGTTGGCACTGCAGGGCTGTCGTCCACGCCCTGCTCCATGTCCATCTCCTCGTCGCTGCAGCATGGGGCAGAAGAGCAGGCAGGTGGCTGGACACAGGCGCAGCAAACCAAAGGCTGTGTGCAATGCGGCGGCAGCCTCGCCCTGTACTGCTGCCACGTCCTGCCCCAACCGCCCTCCTGCTGCCCCAGGGATCTGTTTCCCGCTGCTGCTGCATACCTGG